CCCCCCCCCCCCCACCTCGCGCACAAAATGTAAAGTGCTGCTTTCTGGACTTAGTAATTAGTAGTAGATGCATGTACGTTCCAACACCTTTCCCAGATACTGTTTTATTTAAGATGCCAACATCCGTCCCTTATGTAATCGGAAATGGCGTATCTTGCACCGCTATTATACTCAGAGTCCACCAAAAACTTGTCTCTCAAACAATTTGTTTGTTGAAAACGAAAGAAAAGATGTTCACCTTTTCTTGAGTCAGGGTGATTTATTTTCATTATGATCAATTTTATTATTGTTATTGTTATAATTATACTATTTTTTTCGATTATTATTATAATTATTACTCTTGTTGTTATATATATTATTATTAAAAATTTTATTATTATTATTATTATTATCATTATTGTTGTTGTTGCTATTGACTGTTATTATCAGACCCTTGGCATGAACAATATTATCATTCTTCATATGTTGTGTACAAACTGTACATATTCTTATTATCGTAATGTCCTTGATTGCGTGATAAACGAAAGAGATTTGTTGCAATTGCAAGTAGGCTCAGATAAAACACCTGGTTATTTTTGCTTCGTTTTGTTTTGTTTTCTCCTTTATCTGCACTTTTTTTAGGTTTAAGTTTTAAGTTTTCTGGCACTTGAAACTAGGTCACAGGTCATCTAAGAGCCAAGGATTAGAGAGAGGTGTCACAAGAGAGTGGCACACAAATAAAAGAAGGAGGCGAGATAAGGACGATTGATGTTTGATAAGAAAGAAGGAGCAAACCACACCAGAGCACCATCCAACCACCCACTCGAAATAACTTAGATCTAAGTTAAACAAAAACAAAAAGGCCAAAAACAAACACAAAAAAAAACGAAAAAAAACCAACAAAACAAAACAAAACAAAACAACCCCCTTCCCCCAGAAACTGTGTTCTTCAATTAATAAAAAGCGAATATTTTTGCATCCTCAAATTTGTCGACATTGTTGGTTGTTTCTGTTACTCCTTTTGTTGTTGTTCTTGCTTTTGTTGTTGTTATTGTTTGTGTTGTTGTTATGGTTTTTGCTTTTGTTGTTGTTGTTGTTGCTGTTGTTGTT